GCGGGCAGCGAGACGACGCTGGACAAATTCAAGAAGGAACTGTGGGACACAGTCGTAAGATTTGGAGAACCGCTTCTGATAGGAACGGGCCTGGATGAGAAGGCGAGAAAAGAGCTGCTGAGCAAGCTGGTAGAGCTGAGGAATTCACGATCGAAGACTAGAGAAGAAAAATGTGAGGACAGCTCTACTCTGAAACAAAAAACTGTAGATAAAATAGTTGATGATATAAAAAGGGATAAGGTTGGGACTAGTAATATGATTAAAAGTACTAATATCCTTAAGGCTCGAGCAGGGGGGAGGCAAGAGTTGGAAGGATTGGGGGTAGACAGAGAGGTCGAATCAGTGATGATAGCCACAACACCCTCAAGCAGAGATGTGAAGACCCGCAAGAGGAAGAGAGAAGTGGAGGGATTGGGTAGTCCTTCAGTGGATGCTGTTTCGGAAGGAAACTTGAGAGAGACGGCGCCCATGGTTTTGGCTCGATGCAAGACGGCGGCATACAAGAGCAGCTCGGAGCTCAGAAGACCACTTGAAGTAGAGAGAAAAATAGAGATTTCCACCAGTTCGACATCGGAGGAAGACTTCAAGCCTCAGAAGATAAACGTAAAGAGAGGTTCAACGAACGGACAGACATGGGAAGTGGATGTCGGCAAAGAATGGATCTCGAAGGCACGCCAGGCCACGGGCAAGCAAGTGACGAGTGATCCATTGGAGAGGAACAAGACGAGGAACACCTCCCGGACGTGGTGGGTGGCCCTCGAGACATTGAAGGAAATGGAGGACTGCTTGAAGAAATTGGACAGTGGAGTAGCTCGCAAGCGACGCAATTGGGCCACCCACCAAAAGGCCGAGGTTAATAAAATAGAAATGGCGAATCAGCTGAAGAGGTCCTGGCAGAACTTGTTGAAGGATCATTTTGAAGAAGCAATGAGGACATCCTCATCAGCACCACCATTAATGGCGAATCCCTTCGTTAGGACTGCAGGACAATTAATGTTCACCTGGAGTCTGGTGGGAATAGAGTTGGAGACATTGACCTCGTATGATAGGCTGAAGTTGGGAAGCAAAAAGCTAGATGTGTATCAAGCATTGATGCAACACGTGGCCAGGGACAATTCAGGCTTGAGCCTGGCTAGGAGGAAGGATGCCACATGTTTCTTGAGATGGATAATGTCAATGATGTCTGATAGTACCATCTTGGCATGCCACCAGAGAGCGAGCGGAAGTAAAACCCTGGAAAAAAGAGTCTCAACGATCATCTTAAACGTGTATCAGAGTACTGGTATAGAAAAAGAAGATGGTTCCAGACTATCCCTAGAGAACCACAGAAAGCTGGACGAGGTACGGAGATTTTATAATAAGAAGTTCGAAGAAGAGCATGATGTTCACCGTAACCTGGCCTCGTCAGAGCAGTACTCGAGACCCAGCGAGAAGGGGGAATACCGATACGTGTCAGGAGTGATGGGAATAGCCTACAACCCCTTCTTAGACTCAGAAACAGGAGGCGCTCACAGGAACCACGAGGTGGCGGAGCTACTGAAGTTTTGGACAGAAAGAATAATGGAAATAGAAACGGTTGAGAAAGAAGGGCCGAGCCTGGGCCTGATTCTTGAGAAAACACCAGAGGTGGTAAGCATACCGCGTTCGAACAAGAGAGTTGAAGTGAACATGGGCGATGGAAATGGCCTGTTAATCACGAACTTGGGAGTGGTATGGAAGCTATTAAGACCCTCCTGGTGTCCACATCCCCACGCGAGTCTGATCGAGGAAACCACCGAGCGAGTGAGGTTAGCACCTACGGAAGATGAAGATCTGGCAAAGTTGTGTGTTGCACAAGCTAATCTCACCTCAGACGCAGGAGTCAGGCGAAAAGACGAGCAAGCTCGGGTCAGTAAAGAAGATGGAGCCGGGTAGCTGTCTGGATTCGACGTGTGGGAACGGAGAGCACACCTGCGATGGACGGTCATGTGTCAGAATGCTGTCCTTTCAAAAAGAAGACCTGGTCACTTGGTTTGAAGACATCACGGAAAGGGAGAAAAGTGAAGTGCAAATAGTAGCGGAGTGTTACGCGAGAACTACGGTGAACATAGCAACAGCTCTCGGATTCTTCTCGAGAATGTGTAGTCTGCAGTCACTGGAAAGACTAGAGTCTGAACACCATTTAGTGACGGCGTTGAGCGTAGAATCATGGCCTGGGGTGTTGCAGGTGACTCAAAAACACATCCGGAGCTGGAAGGTGGGTCTCGAGGCGGAAATGGGGTTTCCCATGAGCGAAGCTTATGGCCTGCCATTGAACGCAAAATCCTTGATAGGGTCAATGATGGCCAACTTGTGCGGAAGCCACTACCCACTGCACATAGCGATGGTGGAAGCATCCAGCCAGAGAGTACTGGTGGACAAGGCCTTCTCAGTGCCCAAGTGCGTGAGGTTGGCTCGGATATCGCATCACTCGCACAAGTTGTTGAGAAAAATCAGAGGGACAGTACCAAAAGAATTGAGAGATGACTTGAGTGAAATCTGGGGAGAAGAACTTTTGAAGTTGGAGAGTGAGAACACAAGCGATCACGAGAGACAAAACGTGATCGGAAAACCTGTGGGAGGTGCTCCAAACATGGAAGATAATGACACGATGCATGAGAAAATGATAGAGCTTGAGCCTCTCTTGGAAGCCTCGGGGGAGCGTAACCTCAGGAGCATTGAGATCACCCATGGAGAATGCCCATGCCACTGTTTGGCACAAACGGTGTGGTATCCAGATCACAAGAACCTTTGCCTGGTGTGGGATATGGAAGAAATTCGGTCGATCGGACTACCGGATCACCGGCAGAAGGTGACGCTCTTAGTAGTGAGTACGATGTTGGCACTGAGATGGATAGAAGAGAATATAACGAAGTATCGGGAAGCAACGACGCCAACGGCTGAGTCAATATACGCGATAGACTACAGCAGGAGACTCGAGTTGTTTGAGACTGCGTGCAAAGTATTCGCCATACCGACGGAAGTCAGACACATATGGAGCCGTTTGAGGTACTTTCCATGGTTTCGGGCGACGCTGACGTCTTGGTTGTACATGACAACGAAAAATCACATGAGAAAGCATCAAAAGGAGTATCGACAGTTCCAGGCCGAGATTGGACCGGAAGCTTTCAAGAGACCCCTGCTAACCCATCGAAATGCGATCACGACAGGATGGAAGAGAGTGGGTTAAATGTCTAGAGACAATACCAAAGCGAGGGAATCGATACTAGAGGAGGACCTGGCGAAGAACGTGAGCTTGAGCCTGCACAACTCCTTTTGTTTGAACCGGGAATCTAGGGTGAAGGCACTACCCAACCAGGCAAAGAGGCTGCAGGAGCAAAGAGAATGGATGCGATCCTATGAACAGCTGAAGGCTTGGGAGGAAATCGTGATTAGCTCCGATGATGAAGAAGAACTGTTGAGACAGTTTGCCGTATCAAGTACTTCAGGGTGTGGCACCTCCAAGGCGAAGAGTGCGAGATGAGTGGATGTTTCGAATGGATCTTGAGTCTTGAGAGGGAAGGGGGGCTTGAGTGTGGATCCGGGTGAAACCTGGGTTCACAGAAAAAGAAATTTTAACGAATCAAATATTGTTATTAATATACTATATTTACTATATAAATCAAAATGCTGCATGACAATTTCCTGATTGAATGGGACAAAAGAAATTTTAAATGATTGGCTTAAAAAGCAAGAATTCAAGGGTGCAGGTGTGTGCAGATTTTGATTGCTGTTTAGCGATAGTGTGAAAATTTTACATGGCCGTGAATTTTGGGGTGTAGATAAGCTTAAGTCTGCTGCGAACTTCTGTAAATGACCACTGGCACTGTACCTTGAGCAACACTTGATTTTCTGGGACTCACTGGCAGACGACAGCACGCGATGAGGACATCGATCTCGAGTCCGGGGAGTATGTGCCAGTCGGTCATATTTGGAAGTTTGACCTTGGGAGAAGCAAAAAACACTTAATTTTGGGGTGAAATTTAATTTTTCAAAAATTCGAATGGAGCCTGTCATGCACGATTTTCTCGCGATAACTGAAAGTCAAAAAAGAGAAGTCAGAACAATCGAGTGACAATCGCGGGAAAGTTGCAAGATAAATCAGTAGGAAATTGCTATTCGCAATTTCCGTCACAGTAATAATCTAGAGTAGAGCTGTCCCATTCGAAACAGAAAGAAGCGTATTCCCACGAACTGGATTATTGTGACTTGGCTGGAGTATTATTCTAAACTGGACTAGAGTGAACCTTCGGTGGAAAGGTGGACAGCTTGAGTGTCCCAATGGTTCACGAGAAACTATAGTCTAGAGTACAAACTTGTTCTTGTTGTTAAAACTGACAAACATTAAACTCATTTTAGTTACATTATTTAATTCTCGAGTTAATTACCGACTGAAGTACTTCCCTTTCTTGAGCGTGCTACAATGTGAGTACTAATTTAAATTTCTAGAGTGTGTTTTATAATTGTTATGTTGAGGTAAGGCGAGTTTTAGGTTGATCCATCTGAAATGGATCAAAGTTCCACTGTCTAATAAAAAGTAACTTAACGGATTGTTCCGACCCGGTTTTTAACGGCGTTCATGTATTTTGGGTATCTAGAGACCTAAGTATGGGGACGTTCCTAATTCTAGAGTGGGGGGATATTTTAGTAGTAGCCTTTAAGCTGTAACGGGTCGTAGTCTCATGTCACAAACGAACCGAATTGGCTCCGACTGATTTGAGGTAGAAAAACACAAGAGATAGTGTCCCTGACTCTTGAGCCAATGGTTATAGGGCCTATTTTTCTTAAGCCTCATGTGTGACTGCAGTAGACGAATGTTACACACATAGGGGAGTAGACGGTCTTTCAACCAGTTTTGTGAAAATACTGGTGCCACCAAAAATATCCCCAATATTTGCTACTTGGGTTAGAAAAAAAAGGACATCGTATTAAGACAGTACGAAGTGTTGTGTAAAAACCGGATAAGAGCGAGCAATACTTACTTGGCTTGGCTCATTTGCACTTGATTGCTTGCTCTGGTCGCAATTTCAGTCGTCATTTAAAGAGAACGATACGATGCTATCTCGGTCTTGATAAATAATCGAACTACGCTATTCGGTCGGTAATGTACAATAAATCCGTGAACCAGTCACAGTAAATAATCTATCTAACGATATCTTAAGTTACTTTTAAACTAATAACAAAAAATTCTATAGGGTTATCTCGTGGAATAAATAAATTTATTTTTAACTAAGGACACAATTAAGAAATGTACAATAGCTTTCTGGGTATGAAAATAGACTAGAAAATGATAAAAATCACAAGTCGAATAAATTGGTAGGTTTCCAATTGCATACAAATTCTCTTTTTAAGGTGATGAAGGTTTTGATTCAAACTCCGGGTAATGAATTTTTTCAGTTTTTCCTTTTTCGCTGATTTGAGCTACGCTGAGCTGATCCAGGCATCCAGATCATGGTCTTTTATCTGAATCGAAAAACTGTTGAGCTTCAATTCGAATACCTCAATATTAATCAAACTCGAATCAATCAAAATCCGATGAGTATTTGTTGCTGGTAAAACAGGCAGTCTTTGAAAATCAAATGTCATTGTCGAAAATTATCAAAAAGCTTTTGACAATTAAGAAGCTTGAATATCATCAACAAGCTGCAGTTCACGAAATCAATCAGAAAACGTAGCTTTAAAATGCATAAAATTAGCATAAGAGAAGGGCAAAATAAGCCTTTCGAAAATATAATCTTTGCTGTGCGCCAAGATGGGTTACATGTCAGTATTTAGACAGCCGCGTATTCATACTGGTCAGTATTTAGACAAATACTGTTTCAACCAATCAGAATCGAGACAAAGAAGAAATTAATAAATAATTATTATTTATTTTGGATTATTTATGTTTTTTCTCGATTCTGATTGGTTCATACAGTATTTGTCTAAATACTGACCAGTATGAATACGCGGCTGTCTAAATACTGGCTGCACTCCGCCCAAGATGAAACCTCGGACGTCGACATTATTGTTATGTCAACCTCACATCTGCAACACGGTCGCTTAAAAACATGCAAACACTAATCACCAATAGAGCCGATATAACAAATACTATTCAGTTGCCATGATATGCAGCAAACGAGCCATATTAGCGAATTGTCTGAGATATATTATGATAAACTTATTAAATAGTATCAAGTGATATGACGATAATGGTACGCTTGTAAGTAGATTTCAGAAGAAAGCTCGTTAAGCCGCGATACTTCCCATCTACACGGACACCCCCACCAGAACCTCCACCTCTAAAAACCAGGTTGTAACCACTTTCACTTTTTTTTCTTTTTTTTTACAATCCATTCCACAATCTATTCTTTCTCTTATTCGATTTTTCTATACCCTGTTTAGTGAATTTCCAAGCCGAAGTATCTACCCAAGTGGAGCAGGAAACTGGCAATAGAAACCTCAAGGACCAGGTACTGCAGCCCCAAAGATGTCGTAGCCACGGTTTTTTCGTATAGAGGTGCAAAGCTAGCCGATCTTGCCGCTACTGTATCGCGCTACCCCTTGCAAACTGATTATGGTTACCATAGTAGCTGGCTTTAACGATAACTCAGCTAAGAATTCATCTGAGATATATTCTTACAACGTACATGTCTAAATCGAAATTATGACTCAGAAACTTCCAGACAAATTAATTTTAAAATGTTTAATTAATTTTAGAGGTTAAAAGTATTTTAATCTTAATAGTAATTTAGAGGTCAACTGTGATTGGCTAATTTTTTATCATGATGGTTTAGAACCAAATTGTATGTGATTTATTGTAAATAACATTTGTAAATTGATGTTTTATCGTCATTTAGAGTAGTTTATTGTAAAAATCCTGACGATGCACATAGTTGCGAAAATGTTTGAAATTTACTTTTTAGCAAAAATTTCTTAAGAATTCATACTTTGCAGGTGATTGGAGATTATCAGTAGATTTAAAAATTCATAAGTTTTAACCAAAATTTCCAAATAATCACTTCAATAAGAAAATTTCTCTAAAAAATACCTTATTTCGCCTTATAAAAACATTTTAACACTCAAGAACCCGAATCAATTTCCACAATCTGAATTACAATTTTGGTGCTAAAGTGTTACCTGGTCTATTACCTGGTGCACCACACGCACTCAAGAACCCGAATCAATTTCCCCAATCTGAATTACAATTTTGGTGCTAAAGTGTTACCTGGTCTATTACCTGGTGCACCACACGCACTCAGGCTTGAATGATCTGTCTATTATTATTTTCAGTTTTTTCTCGCTGAGCTAGATTTGTGCCAGTCGGTCATATTTGGAAGTTTGACCTTGACCTGAACGCTTAACCTGGATTTTCGGGAGAAAGGTAATTTTTGAAAAATTCGAATGGAGCCTGTCATGCCCGAGTTTCTCGCGACAACTAAAAGTACGAGAAAATGACAATCACAAGAATCGGATGATAATCGGGAGAAAGTTGCTGAAAGTTTTAGGGGCGGAGACGCTAACTCTATGCTTTTTGGTGTTGTGCTTGGAACATCGATGGTTGTGAAAGATCTGGGAATTTTTGTGTCGGGCGATTTAAGTTGGAAGGTACACATTGAAACAAGATTAAAGAAGGCAAACCAAGTACTGTACCTCCTGAGAAGAAACCTATCAGCAAAGATAAATACGTTTGTAAAGTTAGGCCTGTATAAGTCACTAATACTCCCAGTGTTATTATACGGACTCTCATGTACACATATATCGAGGGGGGATCAATTGCAGTTGGAGCGATTTCAAAAGAAAGTAATCCGTTGGATCACTGGAAATAAAACGGGAGTGTACATCAACGAACTACGCTTGCTAAACATTTTACCCCTGCCCATGTTCATCCAGCTAAATAACATCTTACTTCTTGCCAGTCTTGATTCTAATGAACGAAATGAAATAGTGTTAAACAAGCGAACCACACGGGCTAGAAATACAGAAATTTTTGAGATGCGAAAAGTGAGAACGGAAAAAGCGAGAAACGAATTTGTTTTCAGAACCAGTAGAATTGTAAATCGATTAGAACCATATATTCATTTTGATAAACGAATCGGCCTCAAGACGAGAATTTTAAACACGATGTGGAAATTTGTAAACGAGAGATTTTCAGAAATGACAACGTGCACGTGGCAATTATTCTGTGATTGTATCACGTGCAGAAACAAGTGGACATTGTTTTAGAGAAGACGCCGGGACCAAGAATCCCAACAGCAGTGCTGTGAATCCCCAACAACAACAACAACAACAACAACAACAACAACAACAACAACAACAATACACTAGAGTGAAATTGCTTTTCGCAATTTTACTGGAATTATAGGACGAGAGAAAAGCTCTCTTGTTCCTTATCAAGTTCAATCAACCAAGTCGAATCAAAAGTGACGATTTCACATTGACTTCATGTACCTGCCAATACCAAACTAATTAAGTAGTCTACTAGCATTTGTTATAATTACTTTCTGTATCATTTTTTAAATCATCCCACTAATGAAGCTCTTATGAGACTCATCTTCTTTTCAACTCTCCTAGCATAACTTAAAAAGTAATGGCCCAGACCATTACTGACAAGACCAACACCAAGACGATCTGCCAGCCTAACCAGCCGGATTGAGAGACGCAGGAGTATCGAGCTACAGCCTAACCAGCCCGAAACGGATCGAGTACAAGACGAAAGAAGAAGTGTTCAGAGCTGCAGAGCGAATTAGACGAAAGAAGAAGTGAGCAGTACGAGCGAATTCGAGCAGACGTCATCAGCAGTGAGTGTCAAGCAGACGAAATCATTGCAGTAGAAAGTTGCAGTTCTACAAGCAGACGAGGCGACGACTTGGAGTGACGTGGCACACCGGACGCAGACCAGGCGATCGGGCAACCAGGCAAACGGTTGACGAAACGAGACGGTTCAAGTTGGAGAAACGATCAAACTTGACTTAGTTCGAAATTCGATCTTAGCGTTCGACGTTAATTTTGTAACGCGACCTTGACGAGCAAGCCCGACGATGGCGCGTGCAAAACACGAAAAACTGACGTTTTCTGAAAAGGAGGAGGACTTCATGACATTCATGGAGCAGTTTGAGGCAAAGATGTACATGCTCAAATTGGACCGGGCGTTACGAGACAAGATCACGACACCGGCGATCAAACCAGAGGAGCTGGCTGAGGGAACGGCAGTAAACCTCGTAAAAAGGTCGATAATATGAAGGTACCAGACGGACGATCCGAGTTCCGCCATTTGATGCAGATCAAGAGCTAACGTACTGTTCCAATCACTGGCCAGTGGTAAACTTGCACATGGTTTGGGAGCTGAACGACCAAATTGTGGACAGATATCACACTGTAAAATCACCTTCTGTATGTCAGCCAGAGCAACCGATCCGCCGGACTTCTTGATCAACATATGCAGTTTCTCTGCCGTGCAATGACCGAACTGTTTATGTAGCTTCATTAGCTGTTTGTCATCCACTACATCAAACGAGACATGACAAAACACACTTTCTAGCTCATGTGACACATCCAACAAAATGTGACTGGTAGAAGCTTGCGTATACGGTACAACAGTCTTGTCTGGCAACCTGACAGTCTTGTCCCCAAAATCAATTGCAAGTTTGGCCCGGGTCATTGACGACACGCTAAAAAGTAGTGGCAGATTTAACGGCACAACTAGCACCTCCAGTAAACATTTCGTCGATCCAACTTTGATTGGCAAGGTATACTTCTGTGTAGCAAGTACCCTTTCACCCCCACCAAACACGTTACATATCTTGGTATCTATGACTGTCATATCATTTGCAGCATGAGTGGGAAGCTTCATCAAATAATCTTTAATCCACACGTCGCCCGCAATTGTTGCTGTGCAAGCACTGTCCAATTTGGCTCTTCCAGCGGCTTCTTTCACCAACGTGCCTGTAGCAACAGCAAGGCATATATACGCGGATTCTTCAAGAACGGGGTCTACGCTTTCACCCTGTTGTGACATTAACACCGACCTCGGTTTCTCTGGACAATCTTTTGCATAATGAAACCATGATCCACAAACAGCGCATGTGGTTATCGTGCCATCCTTTGACACAGGGTTCGTGCCAGTCGGTTTGGGATATACACCGTCTCTACGACCAAAGTTACCACGAAATCAACCACGATAATCGTTACCACGATAACCTCTGGCTGGATATGAACCTCTGCCACGACCCCCGGACGTCCACAAAGCAGATTCACTAGATGTAGAAAGACAAGGTTCCTCCTTGACAGTTGGTGAGGAGGAGTCTAAACTAGACGATGTCCCAGATAAAACAGATGCAAATATTCGTCGTAGACTTGTTTTCATAGTTGCCAGCTTCAAGTCGGCGGTCGCCGACAGAACAAGCTTCTTGTCTCTCTCGTCGAGACCAGCGCATGAGAGTAGCTTGCATGCAAGAACGCAATCAGGGAGCTCAATTATGTGTTTCTTCAGTCGCTGATAACTGGCCTCAAACTCA